TCGGGCCTTACTTGCTTCCTTAAATAAGCCAGGATCAGAATCAATTGAGCACGCCATGATTGCCATTCCAAATATTCATCAATTCGAACAGGAGACGAATAATGAAATTGCTTCGAAGATCTTGACTATTTTAGCAGATGCACCAGCAGAAGCTGAGACCGCTCTACCAGCAACGGAAATACTCGGGATCAAGATACCGAATACATATAAAGAAGCAATGGCAGACAAAAAGCACGCGAAAGACTGGCAAGCTGCAATTCAAGAAGAAGTAGACTCATTGGTCAAGAATGGCACTTGGGAAGAGTTCATTTTACCACAAGGGAGCAATCTAGTTTCAACGAAATGGGTATTTGTTGTTAAGACGAAGGATAATAAGGTAGAGCGATTCAAGGCCAGATTAGTGGCTAGAGGGTTCAGCCAAGTTTTAGGTAAAGATTACAACGAAACCTTCGCCCCCACTGTTCGACTCGATACTCTTCGCCTTTTCCTTGCAATTGTTGCAAGAGAGGACCTCGAGTGTTCCCATTTCGATATCAAAAATGCGTTCACCGAATCACACTTGAAAGAAGAAATCTATTTAGCACCCCCTCAAGGTGTTCATGTTCGTCGCGGCCGCGTTCTACATGCACTTCGGAGTCTTTATGGGCTAAAGCAAGCTGGTAGAGATTGGAGCCTTCTTCTGAAAGGAGAGTTAACCAAGATGGGTTTCGTACAAAGCCTTGCGGATCCGTGTTTATACACCAATCACCCGCGCCAGCTAATTCTCCTAGTGTATGTAGATGATATTGTTACTGCTGCTGCACAAAAACGAGATATTCAATGGTTTTATCACAACCTTTCTGCTCGATTCAACACCAAAGACCTGGGGGAGATTAGTAAGATCTTAGGAGTGCGCATCATTCGTAACAGATCAGAGAGAGTGTTAACTATGGATCAAGAAGAGTATCTGGATGCAATGCTTACCCGATTCGGGATCTCCCATGGTCAACACACTCCAAGGAAGATACCAATCTCGGATTACAACCAACTACGACCAACGCTCCCAGACGACGAGCTCACTGATGTAAACGAATACCAGCAAGCAATCGGCAGTACGATCCACCCTATGGTTTACACTAGACCGGACATCGCATTCGGTCTCGGGAGATTAGCACAAGCTATGTCTAACCCTGCCAAACATCACAGCGTTGCACTCAAAAACCTTATGAGATATTTGAGGTCAACTATTAAACAGAAACTACGTTTTGGGCCTGGGGGAGTTCAATCAGATATTTGCAAAGAATATGACCTCCTACAACGCACCATCAAAGTATACACCGACGCAGACTGGGCAAGCGATAGAACCGATCGAAAAAGCATCTCTGGTGGGGTAGTAATGTTCTATGGTGGACCAATCTCATGGGCAAGCAAGAAGCAGACATCTGTAGCTACATCTAGTACAGAAGCTGAGTACATTTCCATGGCGATGTTCACCAAACAAGGGCAATGGGTAGCCCAACTCTTGAGGGACTTAGAGCGACCACAGTATATCGGGAGCAACAGCGGAGTTCAAATGCTCGGAGACAACCAAGGAGCGCTAGCGTTAACCAAGAACCCACATCTACACAAGCGATCAAAGCATATTGACATATGTCACCACTTCATTCGAGATCTCACAGAAAAACATCTAGTCAATACCAGCTATGTCAATACAAGTGATATGGCTGCAGATGGATTAACAAAACCATGCGCAAGGGTGATATTTGAGAGATTCAAGAACATGCTGGGGTTTCAAAGAGAGTAAGCTCTTTGGGAGAGTATTGGAAGTTGTGGTATGTGCTCCAAAATCGACTAAATCGACCAAATTGACCAAATCGACCAAAATCACTGAATCCACCCATTTCACCTATTTCATCAGATTCATTGGATTCATCTTACGTCGAATTTATCAAAAAAAAAAAAAAAAAAAAAAAAATTAATGATTTCAAGAAAATCACGTGGAATAACAGATAAGCTTAAGGTCTGTTCGCATACGATCGGATTTTGATGGTCTACCATATTAAAACAGTAACCCTACGATCAAGGAATAACGAATTTCGAAGCAATCAGTTATTGGGCGTATAAAAGGAATTTTAAAGAAACTAACTACTGAAGCTGAGAGAGTAAGCTCTCTGGGGGAGTGTTGGAAGTTGTGGCACGTGCTCTAAGCTACTGTGCATATATCACTTCCACTTCGTAGTTAGATTTTACCTTAGTACAATTAATCTACATAGTCAATAATACATGCATTCCACTGGCCTGCTCCTTTATTGTGAACATAAAGAAATATTTTAAAAAAATTTAAAAAGAATTTTTAAATTCTTTTTAATTTTTTTAATATTATATATATTTTTGAAATTGTATTTAAAACTTAATTTTTTAAATTTTTCAAAATTTCAAACTTTTTTTTAATAATAATATAAATCAATTCGAAAAACTTATTTTTAATAATATAGATTCATTCTAATATAAATTTTTATTAAATTATTAATATCTTAAAATATTATTTTTTAAATCAATTAATATTCTATTTAATATTCCAAATTCATTAAAAACTAATTATTATATTTCATTAATCTTCAATTTATTTTTTATAAATTTTGATATTATTATAAATAGTTTTGGATTTATAATCAATTTTTAATTCAATAAATTAAAACGTACAAGATACAGGGTCGTGCACGATGCAGGGATATCGGTTATCGCTAATGTATGTGCTGTGTTACAATGCGAATTCTTATATCCGAGTTCAGAAAAATCATAACTTAAAAAGCATTTTTGATGGATCCAATCCATGACCGCGAGTGGAGAGTTACACCTTTGAAATCTATCCTTCATATAGAGAAACCCCTGGGAAGATTCAAGATTCGTGTTAAATCGATGATCATGGGGTAGTCGCTTGAACCAATTCTAAGCCTCAGCTACTCTAAAAGTCCTCAGACGTTGCATCGAACGTTCAGTTGATGCGGGAACTCTTGACTGTCTTGCCGATTGAGAAGCAGATGCTGGCGGAGCACTGTTGTCTACCGAGGACGTACTTAGTTTACTCAAGGGTTGTATGTTAAAGACACTCGGGGCACTATTCATCGTTGAGGGAGTAGTTGCTCTCTTAAATGACTGAGCAGCTGCAGCCTGGGGAGCATTGCTTATTTTTGAAGAATTACTTAGTCTCCTGATTGGTTATGCGGCTGGGATATCCGGGGTATCTCCCACAGCAGAAGAAGCAGTGATCCGACTTTCATCTGCTGATGACGACCGGGAAGCTATAACAGAGCCAGCTTGCGACGTAGCAGTGTCCTGCGGCTATCCCCTCATTCTCTGGGCTACCTGAAGAGGCCATGGTAATAACCATGCAAACAACGGATGATTCGACTCAGTCGTTTCTCTGAAATTGAAACAAAAAGATGATGCAAATATAATGGTCTTCTCACACAAGAACCACGTCTTTCCATGTCCCGGAATGTATCAACCACGGAAGCAAAATCGACGGATTTTGGAGAGAAAATTTCGGGTGGCTTATTATTATAATGATGCTTCAGAGATTGACAATAAACTTACTGTACTCTGCAAAGATACCTAGTTCTGTATGCATGCAAGTTGAAAGATTCGCAGGCATCTCTAGGGCTCGACGGCTACAGCTAAAGGCCCCTATAGAAGCCTTGGAGTCCACTCCGGGCTACGCGAACCGATCGTCTTTGACGAATATGATCCCCAACATTAACGCCAAATCTCGTCAGGCATGATTGGTGGCCTATTCAGCCAATCAAGGCTCTGATTCGCCGGGATTCTTCTGAGTTGTCGATTTTGTGATCACTATAAGCTCTACATTTCCAACTCGTCTCGTAGCATATTGAATTGGTCTCCTACCTCTCCATGGTTTGATGTACCGACGCAATCAACCTTGCAAAAGCTCGATGCGGAAATACATGCATAGGTGAAATTTTCGAACTGCCATTGAAGTCGAATTTAACCGAAAATGCTGTGCAAAACGAGAATGACAAGAGCACATTCGAGTTTAGCAGCTGGGGTGGAGAGGGGGCTCGTACAATGAAAAAGAATAGCCAGATGAATGCCAGCGATATTCCCACAGCTGCTTACCTACCCAATCTTGATTTGAAATCGCAAGACACAATGGAAGACCTAGCCAAGTAATGACATGTTCCACTCGGACCAGAATCCTATCCATCATTCGGAACGCGGTACCAAGAATCTTAGGCATACATAATAATCACGAAATATCTCCAACTAGTTGTCGTGCGCTTTTAAAAATGACATCCCGCCCCCCATCTTCTATCCAAGAAAATCCAGCATCAATAGTGTCCCAAGTGTCTTCTCGAATGAGCAGTCAAGAGATTCGGCTGTGTAGCCTCACTATTTTTCAATCCAGGTCAGTTATTGATCGGTACAACATTCCTTACTCTCAGCCCGCTCACTGCTTGCCCACCAATCGCGACCTACCACTCAAAGCTTCCTACCCGCCCAATCAGCACCAACGTACCATGCAATATTGATCTTATCATGATATTATCCTGTTCTACACCCCCCTACGACAAACCACACCAATCACGCATTCTATGCAGAAAGTGAACACGTTAAAAATCAATCGAACGAAACCACATCAAATTGCAACAAAGTAGAAAAAGTCTTTCATTGGAAACAACTGAACTCAATTAATCGCCGATTTGTGAAAACATCCACGAAGTGATGTCAAACTTCACGCCAAGCCACCACCTCTTAGCGTCAATCTAATCTAATCTTATCTCCCCCGCGAACGCAAAAAAATAATTTCCTTTCAACCTTACACAACACCACTACACCACACTCGCACGACACAACTTCAAGCTTCCATCTCCACCACCGACTTCACCAACTCGTTCTCAAAAACTACACACCTCCAAATATTAATCACCACACAAATCCTCCGCATACGAAGCCACCCACAGTTCACCACCATCGCGCACCGCGCACCCCCGGAAAAAAAAATGAAACTCCTAACTCTCAATTTCCTTACCTGCGCCGTGAAAGCGTGCAAATCAACCAGCGCATCGTTTCCTCTTCATCCAAAAGAATGCTCGCTAGTTAGTAACGATATACCTTTAAACACTGCTTTACTTCTCAATATTCTGCCGCGGATTGATTGGAAGGCGCTATGTGTCATTGCTTCTGAGGTTTGTTTTTCTTTCCTTCTTCTTTCCCTCAATGATCGCCCACATTTTCGCTCATCTGCAATCTTTGTTCCGCGCCCAAGTCAAGCAATTATTTCGAGGTGAAAAACACCAGGAAAGAGAAAAGATGCTAACACAAAACGTAATCTAGCTCTCGTTCCCCGCCCTCCCTCCCACACCACCCACCCCCGAAACCCTCCAAGAAGACGAAAAAATGATGAAGGAACTCCATACGCTTCTTTTGGAAACAGAAATCGACGAAGGAAGTTTGGTCTGTGGGAATTGTGGACATGAGTATCGTGTTAAGGAAGGGATTGGAAATTTCTTGTTGCCGGGACATTTGGTTTAGATGGTGGATGTGATCAGGCTAAGAATGAGCACTCAGATGGATGTGGGAGCTGGTCATTGTGAACTCAAAGGTTCGGATCAGATCTGGATGAGGATATGCATCATTGAATTGCTAGACGGAACGGAAAAACAGAATCCAGATAGGGAGAGTGTAAAAAGAAGAAGAGAGGAGATTAAGCGCCAGGTTTGTATGCTGCCCGGTCTATATATATACAAAACACTGGAGAGCGAGAAAGAAGGGGTCAGGGGAAAAACGATACTGCGCATCGAACGCATAATCACGAAATAGTACCGCGCAAAGTAGTCGTGGAGAAGAAACAGAATAAAAAGATACCCAAAAACTACATCTTCTTACATCTCAATCCCAATCCCAGTATCGATGTCATCAACACAAGCACGAAAATAACAGAAATCAGCACACTACAACTCCCTATATCCGGACCATGGGTCTGAAACCAAGCATAATTCCGAGCATCAGTATAGATCATTTCATAACATACAAACTCATGCAGGAGGGAGAAACTTTCATTTTAAAAGAATCATTGCCATTACATTAACTTGCTAATCTGATTGCTCATAGAGCTACACAAGTCATAGCTTCGCTATCCATAGACACCATGCCCATATCCATCCATTCATAAATCCTCTCAAGTCTCAATCATCCCCACTCCACCCCTCAAATCCCACCACATTACATACATCCAGCCTCGGTACTGCAGAAAAACTTGTTTACAGCCAATAGACCTTTCGATCTCCAATCCTCATCCCCCACCCCATCCCTATTTACCAAGCACTCATCCCGTCACCTCCATCCCCCGTTCCCTCAATTTGCATCCCCATCGCATTAGGCATACCAATAAGAATTCTCCCCTTCGGAACCCTTACATCTCTAACCTTAAAATCTCCAAAAATGATCAACTTCTTCAATTTCGGACAAGTCTTAAAGATACTTCCCACCACAAAATCATTTACCTCCTGACAAAAACTAATGTTCATCTCATCCAATTCCGGATATTCCTTCTCGAGTGAAAATGCCTTTTCGAAACTCGAGAGGGAAATGTGTCGACAAGAATTGATATCTAGATAGCGAAGAGTAAGACCTGAATGTGCCATTAGGGCTTCGAAACCGAGGGAGCAGAGACCGATATTATCAGGGTTGTCGCGAGGGACGGAAGCATCAATATGACGATTTTTTGAAAGATCGATAAAGGAAAGAGGAGGATTCAACCAATTTGTGAAAAGATTTGCGAAACCTGCATCTGTCAGGACACTATTGTCTGTGATGCGCAATTTGTTCAAGTTTTGACAATTGTCATGGATAGCGTTCAAGACAGAATCGTTGATTTCATGGACTTGACCAAGGGACAGAGTTCGTAGTTGAGGTCCAATACTATCGAGAATCTGAACGTATGGTTCTGAGGCTTTGCTTTTTTGGATTTCCAAACCGAGATGTTGAAGAGTAGAGATGCGTGAAATATGTGCAATACCCTCATCAGTGACTTTTTGGTTATGAGTGATTTTAAGACGAGTCAATTGAGGGCATGTTTTGGTGATAACATCTATTTGATCATCACCAAATTGACCATCTGTATAGTACACCTTGAAAGATTTGAGGTGTGAACCTTTCTCCGTGAAGTAACGGTTCCAATTTTCATCGCTTATGAGATTACTACCAGACAAGCTTAGTTGCTCAAGTTTGACAGTAGATGCTATAAGATGTTCCATTACTTTGTCTTTGAATTGAATACCAGATCGGATGCGTAGTGATTTGACACTTGGTACGACCTGAAATATTCGAATATAATCATCGGAGTTCAGGTATGCCCCTTCATAAATGGTGATAACTTCACGACCATTTTGAAGAAACAAATTCAAAGTATTGGAACGTAAAAGGCGCTTCTTGGAAAGTATAGCTGATAACTTATCCATGAGTGGTTCCGGTAAATCTCCCAAGTCATCGGCCATGTCGACATTTTTGGCTAAAGTTTCGATGCACAAGGTCATTAAATCTTTGGCGCCTGGATATACACCATCGAGGAGATTACTCTGAATCTTTCTTCTCTGGGCTCCAGCTTGAGATTTCCGTTTCTTTTTTGCTTGCCCTTCTTCCTTGTTGAGTTCTTTTGTACATTGTGGGCAAAGCAGACCTCCATCCGGTCCAGCTCGGCTGTATGCTGTAACGGTGAATCTCTTTTCACAAAGTACACAGTTCTCCATTTGATCGGGTAAGGGTGCCATGCTTTCATTGAATAACCGAAGTGCGGCTTCATCTTCATCGGTCATATCATCGTCTGATCCAAAAGCTCTTTGGCGCTGGAATCTTTTAGAGGCTTTGATTCTGGCAACTGCTTTCTATAAATTTATTAGCTTTTGATTCGATCCCGAGCAAGTTGTAGCCATACTCCTTCATCCTTTTTTCTCTTATTCTTTTGTGCTTCACTTTCATTTCGGCGGGAACGGGTACGGGTAGCAGGCGCAGATACTGGTTCATCTTCTCCCTCTCCTTCATCCTCATCTCCATTTCCTTCAGCGTTTTGTTGTGAAGCGAGTGCAGCAGCTCGACGAGCGTTTGCATCTTGACGAATTTGATTGGCATCGATATTGTGAGCCTGCGCAGAAAATCCGTGAGTGTGAGCCGTAACTGGGTGGGATGATTTGATTACTTACAGCCAGGAAATCGGTCAATGCGGATTGACTATAGTTTTCTTAGTCTATGAGAAGCATGGAAGTAGAGTTCAAGTCTTACGGTCCACGAATTGATCTTCTGGGAGCTGGTTGAGCATTAGGACCTCCAGGCGGAGGGGGTGGTGGAGGAGGATTCCTTTGGCATTATAAATTAGCAAACATGATAACTATTGAAGATAGAAAGGGAAATGGCACACATGATGTTTCCCTTGTTTGTAGTATAGTCACGTCAACTCTGAACAATCCGTAGTATGACAGTGTTAGTCTTTATTTGCTGGTCTTCTTCACATCCAAATAATATATGGTGTTTTGGTGTGAAGGAATCCACGGAATTGTGTTGCAACTCTATTCTTTGATGGAAGATTCGCTGTGAGAATTGTCTTTTGTTGTGCCAAGTGAATTGTAATGATGAATATAAAGAATGAATCCGATGAACCGCAAGGTAAATAACTTTTAATTATTCTTCTTTCACCTCATACCCACCAGGTAGTTTCATTCTCGTCCTTTCCTTTCTTTTTCCTTTTTTGCCTCTCATGTAACAAATCTAAAATGCCGCGTAAATGCCGCGTAAAGTGGTTTTATTAACACACAGACCGTGATGCCGCTGACATGCCCCCCGACCTAGCAAGACCAAGACCCCAGCAAGACCCCAGCAAGATCCAGTAAAATACTTCCAAATGCTTATCAATATATTATCTAATCGATCAAAGTTTACATTCTCACCAATCAAATGCCTTAAAATGCGAACGGCTGCCTGATTACTCACGTGATACCGCGGACTTTGGTGCTCGAATCGCGTCTTTCATCTTTATCTGACGAATGAATGGCGTTCCGTGAATTTTTGATCCAGGAGGTGGCAATTTGATTCAATCTGATTATCTGACGAACCAAGGACCAATACTTTGTCGTTCACTTGAAACTTTATAAAAAAAAGGCTCGTGAATAACTTCATAACCTTTTCTTCGGTAATCCCAATCAATCACTTCCCTCTTCCTTCTTCCTTTCTTCTATTTTCTACGTGCTGGAGTTGGCACTTTGGTCGCATTATCACCATAAGGCTTGGTTGGTGGTATCGATTGACCTTTGGATTCGATAAGTTCCATGCGGATATCTTGGGATTGAGCTCAACTCGAAGCCATTTTCACCATTCGCCATCCACTCTATATCCAAACCTTCGTCGTACCTGCATAATTCCTTGGAGCGGTACATCTTTCAATCAATCTTGCGGATCGAATTGTCGGTATTTCTTTCACCGAAGTGTGTACCTTATCTAGCGACCCCTCCATCGTCTTCATCTCCTCTCCGTCACTTTTCATCATCCCTCCGTTTGGTGAAATTTAATCCACAATGGCGCCAACCGGGAAAGGAAGAGGAAGACCAAGAAAAGTCGCAGACTCAGGAAATACGAGTAGCGTTAGAAGTAGTCGAGCAAGCTCTCGATTATCTGGTAAGCTTCTCTCATATCTCCAGATTTATTCAATATGCCTTGTACCTTCTATTATTAATCTGTTGAACTAGCCGTCAAACAACAAATTTCCAATCTTGAACTTGATGAACTTTCCTCTCCTGTACCTCAATCACAGACCGATTCCAAAAATTCTATGGTCATTGCGGATAGCGATGATGACGGCTCTTTGTCGGATCTTCCACCACCTTCCCAACTTGGCGAATATTTAAGTGCAACCAAGACGCAACAGAAAGGAAAAGGTAAACCTGCGGAATCTCGCCAATCTCTATCCACAGCTTCAACCAGTAACGACTATAATGATGGAAGTGAATATTCTACGCCAGAGACAAGTGGTGTTGCAACTCCCGCTTCCACCAAAGTTCCTGTCCAGCCTTTAAATACCAATGGGTCTACACGAAGAGGACGGGCTCAAACCACAAATCCAGTCCAGAGTGCTTCCTCTCTGAACGCAATTGATCGAGCTCGAGCACTTCAAAACAGCATGTACTCTCTTAATCCCAAGAAAAGAAGATACGCCGACTCTGAGGATGACGAAGACGACGAAGACATTACACCAGATGCTCAGCTTGCTCGTTCTCTTCAAGAACAAGAATTCAAGAAATCAACTGTACCAGCGGTAGCTGAATCTTCAAATTCCTTACGGAGAACTTCACGCAATGTCCAACCAATCAAATTGACTTTTGATGCGGATTTTAGTGAGGACGATGAAGATGATGAATTTGTTGATCGTAAGGTTTCACACGTGTCTAAGAAAGCAAAAGTTGAGCCCAAAGTTGAAATTTCGAGAACTTCCAATGCCGTCAGCTTTCGAACTCCAAACTCAGGAAAGAGTACGAGATATAATGACG